CTCAGTATGAGAGTATATTTTTCTAAGACTTTTTGCCATGAAGTAAAGTAATAATAAAGGCACAAAAGCATTTAATACAGAGAATGAGTAATTTGGGGGACGGGGTTTTTCTGAAGCAGCTTATTAGTGTAGACAGTTTGGGAGATGCAGGGGGCGGCCTGCTTTGGGAGGTCTAGCAATACCACCTCTCATCACCTCCATTGAATGCACTGAATGTGGAGCAAGCAGGACCTATAGCTGCTCATGCCTGTGTGTGGTGAACATGCTTGGGTACTTTACTGTGTGCCAGGCTGGGTTCTCAGGGCCATATACTTAATTTTCAGTAGGATTCCAGGCAAAAGTAGGATTTTTCATCTCATAAGGACAAACTGCCTTTCTGGGCTTTGCAGTAGCTCAGCATTTTTCATGATGTGACCTCTGCCCTGCAGCAGAGCCCCTGTTACAGGTCTGGTTCTCTGGAAGCAGCCGCTGAGATGGAGTTTGGCTCATAGATTGTTTATTAGGGATCCCTGCTGAAGGGGAGTAGACACAAGGGGAAGCCAAATTGCAACGCGGGCCTGAGGGCCTGGGCCAACCACATGCAGTGGGATGGAGGATAGACAGCCCCCTCAGAGCTGTCCTGTGGTGGCCCGAAAGGGCAGGGCCTTTACACCCCTGTTACCATCAGTCAGTAGGTGTGGGCTACCCAGGGGCAGGTGTGCCCTTGGGCAAGGGAGCCCTGCTCAGCTGGGCCAACTCTGAAGGAGCCGGTAGCATTCCTAGGCACTGAGAGATGTTCTTCCCTGAAGGGGGCTCTGGGAGGTGCAGTCCTATTTCTATCTTGACACTTTCAGTTTCACTGGAAATATGAGTCTACATAACAGTAAATCATTTCTCCAAACTCAGCCTATTGTTTGGAGTCTAGATAAATAGGCATTGTACAAGTAAAGACAGATCCTTAGCTATCTGGAATCGTTTAACTACAGCTCTAGGCAGAGGCAAAGGTGGATCATCTATAGTCCCTTTGGCTCATGTGATTAAGTCATACCTGGCCTTTTGGAAACACATAAAGGTTGGTTTTACTTTCACCATTCTTTTAGGTGGAGCCAGTTAGATTTTTCCTGGAGGCAGAGTCCAAAGCTAAAAGCCATAGTGCAGTGATGGAAAACCTCCAGTCACATTTTGCTTGCCACTCACCTTTAAAGAAATCTTGCAGTGATGAAAATTGCAGATTTAATCCCCTTTTCCTTACTCTTTCTGTCACGAAACTAAAGCAGCATTTCAGCTCACTTCACACAGACATTAAATTGTATCCCCACTGACTTACATCCTGCTTACACAGTTGGCCACAGGAGCTGTTCCTGTGTCACCCAGTGCGGGACCCATTTCTGCTATATCCCACTGGGACCAGACTTGGCTTTGGCCACTAACTGTCTCAGCTGCAAGGTGTGCAAAATCTTTCTCCACTTCCTTTATTTCAGGTTGGAAAACTTATCCAAGAAGCAGCTGGAAAAAGTAATTTGAAGAGAGTAACCCTGGAACTTGGAGGGAAAAGCCCCAATATTATTTTTGCAGATGCTGATTGTAAGTCACCCACAAAATCTCATCCATGTCCCGGCACCTGCCCTACTGTGCTCTCTCTTGTATCTCCACTTTTGACAGGACACTAAGGAAAAGATCTTTGAAACTAAGGGGCATTTAAGGAGAAGAATCTGGATGACCCTTCCTCCTAAGGAGAAAATAGTTTCATACTGGGAAGGAGCGCTCATCAGCTGACAACTAAACAGAGTTGGTTTTCTAGGCATGAACGAGCCACTCCGACCCTGTGATGTTGTAGAATAGGGTAGAAGAGGCGAAGGTTTGGTCAGTGTGGTATAGTTGAAAGAGCAATGGTTTAAGCCCCTGAATATCTGAAATACAATCTGTCTTCCTAGATTCAAGAAATCTAAAACTTCTCAACTGTGCCTAGTGACTTTGTAGATCACTAAAAAAAATTTGAGTTCACTAGCCTGGCCAGCATCTCCCAAACCCGCAATCGCCTCTCTGTTTAGTCATCCCAGCCTCTTTCTGTTGCTCCCAAGACTTGCAGTCAGCCTGACAACATGCTATGGTCAGCTCTGTATGAACAGGCCTTAACTGGAGATGGTTATGCCTCCTTTACAGAGGCTTGGAGCAGTAACTAGGAAACCCCAGGGCTCCAGGGAGGATGCCCCCTAGTCCATTCTGAACAGGTGTGGGCTTTCTGTTTTAGAGAGCTTACCAGGGAATGAAATTCCAAAATCTCCTTCAGTTACCCTTTTTCTTCTACACATCCTGCCAGGCAGACCTGCTTTTCCAGTGTCACCACCAGAGAGAACAGAAAGCAGAAAGCAGATGGCCAGAATTTTAGCCACAGCTTGGAATTTGCAGAGTTCAGCTTCAGCTCTGCACTGCTATCAAAGCGATCAGCATTCTTATACCTAACTTCCTCTCGGGGCGTAGGTACTCCACTGACACAGCATTGACTGACAGGCGATTGATTGATTGATTCCGGCAGTCAGTCATTTAACAACTAGCACACACCAGGTTTACTAGTACTACCTCGAAGTATAAGATTCAAGCAATAAAATGAAAGCGTTATGATATGCTATACAATTCCATGTAAATATAGAAGGAATTTAGTGTCTTTAAAGTATATCCATTGCTGTTATAGTTTAATTCACCAAAATACTGGTTAAACATACAGCTACAAGGTTCTCTAGATTAAGAGTTGCAAATTGGCAGTCCACAGGCCAAATGCAAGGTACAGATATGTTTACCAGTCTAAATATTACACAGTCTTAAAAGAACAAAAGCTGTCCATTGAAAATACTGAATCCTGTTTTTTTCCTAAAATTGGAAATCTGGCAGCCATTGTCTTATATTGATTCACAAAACAGCCAAATGCAGTGGCTTTCCTGCTGAGTGTCCATCAGATTGTTTTAATACCTGGCAGAGTCATACCATTCCATTGTCTGCCTAGCCCATTGGCATCCTGGGGTGTGAGACCCCTGTCACAGATGACATTGTCCAGTCCATCTTGTTACAGAGGAAGGAGACTCAAAGAAGTGAAGTCGTCTAAGTTCACACGGCAAGTGACATCAGCGTGTAGTTAGAACTGGTGCGAAGGTGTGTTCTCAGGCCAGTGCTCTGTACTGTGCTGACCACTGTTAGGTTCTGTGGTGAGCGTGGCGTTCCAGCTGGGGCCTCGGAGAGGTGGGCAGGTGGCTCCATGGGCAGCCCCCCTCGGCTGGGGTGGTGCTGAGTGCGGGGCTGTTCCCTCTCGTAGTGGACTACGCCGTGGAGCAGGCTCACCAGGGTGTGTTCTTCAACCAAGGCCAGTGCTGCACCGCAGGGTCCCGCATCTTCGTGGAGGAGCCCATCTACGAGGAGTTTGTGAGAAGAAGTGTGGAGCGAGCCAAGAGGCGCATAGTGGGGAGCCCCTTGGACCCCACCACTGAGCAGGGACCCCAGGTAGAGAAATCATAAACGCTCCCCTCCTTCACTTAATCCCTGGTAGGCACGGACCCTGGACACTAGTGGAACTCAACAGAGACACCTCTTTCTTTTTCTGCTGCCTCCTTACTCTTCCAACTCATCTTCATGGCTGGAAATGCAGCCAGTGAAGCATTGCTTATTTCGTATGCTTCTCCTTTCCTTTCTAAACATTATTTCTGAAAAACTAAGGAATTAGGATGGCCTTCAGGGTACATTTTTGGAGTTGCTCAGTTCTAAAGGGCATGGCTTTGGCATGACAAGATGGATCCTGACTCAGGAACCCAGTTCCAGGCATCACCATTGACCTTCAAGTCATCCCTACAGATGCCACAGTCAAGGCAGGTGGCTTTGCCATTTATCCCTTTTCCAGTTGCCAAGGAATCTCTCTAACAACTCTGCCTACTGTGGGGAGATCACTTGTGACTTATAAATGTGTAGGAAATGAAGTGCTCTCTAGTCTGTCCTCTGCTATATGGTAATCTCTGGCTCTGAGTGCTTCACGCCATGGGGTAGGAAGGGCCACAAAAGTCCCTGCAGGCTGCCCTATTTAGCTCTGCAGGTCCTCCACAATCATCAAGGTGTATGTTCAGATGGAATTCTGATTTTAAACTGTAGTTAGAGTCTAAGAATTTTTAAAGGAATATCTAGATCAGACCTCATTTGGATCACTAGAGTGTGGGTCTTCCTGAAAAGAAAACACCTCCTAAGTTTGGGACCATTGGGAGAAGATTGGTGTTCCAGTTGAGTAGTTCAAACTCAGGTGAATGTAGAATCTTTCTGTTATTTACCAAAATAATTGAGTGATAATTCTATAAATTCTGGGGGGCAAGACTGATCTTATTTCGTGGACTAGGGAGAGCTAGCCTGAATTCCATAAACTTAATCTGCTCATCCAAAGGTATAGTAGGAGGTCCATTAGAAGTATACCCCAAAAGGATTTGATATGTGGTGGCATGTAGCTTATCTATTATCTTCATCTTTTTAGTATCAGTACAACTTGCTAAACTATTCATTTGGTTAAAGAGTTCAGTCTTCCCCAATAAACAGTAAATAATAAATTAACCAGTGTCTTCATCACCCAGAAACACTGGCCAAGTCTTTACTGGTACTTCTGATTTGGCAGTATTTTCAAAGCAGCACATTTATGGGAATTCTCGATACATTAGGTCGAACCATACAACATTATCATTTTTCATAGGTCAAAAATGGCTAAATAACAGCAGTTTCATATGATTTGACTAGATATAATAAAGCTTAGAAAAAATCACAACTAAGAGATTCTTGAGAAGATGCTTTTTCCATTTTTATAGAAGATTTTACATGGGATCATTAGGTAATTTCTTCTGTAGATTGATAAGAAACAGTACAACAAGATCCTGGAACTCGTCCAGAGTGGTGTGGCCGAGGGAGCCAAGCTGGAATGTGGAGGCAAAGGGCTGGGCCGAAAGGGGTTTTTCATCGAGCCCACGGTGTTTTCCAACGTCACAGATGACATGCGGATCGCCAAGGAGGAGGTATTGAATACGGAGTTCTAACAAAAGCCACATCTTCCTTGGGATGGTTTCCAGAGCATTTCTAGTAGACAATATTATAGGTTTAGCTCTTTCTATTTTACATACACTCTGCAATAGCAATAAACATGGCTATGAAAATCCCACTTTTGAGAAAATAATTTAAACAAAAAGGCAAGCAAGTTGGATGGAGACCAGCTGACATGCTATATGGTTGCAAGTATTATTAGCCAGCAAAACAATCAAATAGGCACTCACTGTCCTCAGTGATACACTGGCAACAGTTCAGCTCCCTCCAATGGGGGTCACTAGGCTGTTGACTAAGAAAGAGGAAGAACCCAAGAGCACTCACAGCTATGCAGGTGAGCCAGCCACCCAAAGCATCATGCTCAGTCCTGGGGCAGCGCTAGGGGGTCATGGAGAATGCAGCTTCCCAAAGCCGCGTCTAATCCAGAGGGGCCAGGAGGTGTTAAACAGACCCTAAGGTTAGATTCTTCTGTAATCTTATTCTGGCAAAGTTTGGGATATTTTACAGTTTTAAGCTGCTAAGCATAAATGTCACTTAAATAATGAAGGCAGAGTAAACTTGCTTTGAAACACAAAAAGCAGCTAAAGGGATGGCAAAGCAACCACATTGGGTCGAATAATTTTGTTGCAGATCTTTGGCCCCGTTCAGGAAATTCTGAGGTTTAAGACTATGGATGAAGTCATCGAAAGAGCCAATAACTCAGACTTTGGACTCGTAGCGGCTGTCTTTACTAATGACATCAACAAGGCCCTCACAGTGTCTTCTGCAATGCAAGCTGGGACTGTTTGGTAAGATCAGTCTCCTTGTTGGCTATATTCCGCTAGTGGGGTCAGGGCCCTGTGAGACCCCGGAGCTGGGGTGAAGCAGCACATAGCCTCTGGGGGGATGGAGAAGGTCGCAAGTGGCTGCACCCTGAGAGGGGAGTCACTCCTGACTGGCTGGATCATGATAGCAATGTAAGTTTTAAATTATAAATACTGCATCTGGAAAAAAAAGGAATTAAAAATAAAACGTTTAAAAGAAATATCACTCCAGTGAGATTATTTCTATGCAAGTCAGATTCACCCTAACTCACAATACTGTTTTCTTCTTTCAGGATCAATTGTTACAATGCCTTAAATGCCCAGAGCCCCTTTGGGGGATTCAAGATGTCTGGCAATGGGAGAGAAATGTAAGTGTCCAAAGTTGCTGGTACCTGCAGAGAAACAGGACTAGTGAATATCAGCGCAGAGGAATACTCTCAAAATCATTTAATTCTCTGACTCTCATTCATTTGTTGAACCAACACTTTGTTGAGCACATTCCTCCATAAGCAAAGCACTGTGTTGCACGGTACCAAGATGAATAGACACAATTTCCTTACATAGGAACTGAGAAAAATTAATGTACCAGTCATTCCATATAATAAGGGCTATTTTAATATAGAAGTATGCCAGACATCTTAAGTACAGAGGAGAAGTCAATTAATTTTGCCTGATGGGGTCAGAGAAGACTTCTCAGAGGAGATAACGTTTCAGTTTTTTAGGCGCAGGCACTCCAGGCAGAGAGACCAGCCAGGACAAAGACACGAAGGCACGAGAAGTGCAGAGCTCTCGGGAAACAAAACAGACTTTCATGTGCTTACAGGTCACAAACTACCAGCCCAAAGGCCAAATTTGGCTTGCAGAAATATTTTGTTTTGCCTCATAGTATTTCAACATCTGTAACACTCAAAAATGAGGAGGCTTTAAATAAAATCGAGATGTCTTGATTTCCATTCCACCACAGCAAAATTGCTGCAGCTGTGAGCTGTGCAAGTCACCATACTCCCTGCCACTCCTGTTGCTTCGGGGGCTGAATATTGGCTGTCATTCATTTTACACATACCCAGTTCACTCACTCATGTCACCTGCTCAGCCCCCATAGCTCCTTTGAGTCTGGGGTGGCAGGGTTTAGGCACACGATGAATGGAGGGGACTTGCTGAAGATACAAGTGAATGGGTTGGTTTAAACCCAATCTCAAAGGGCTTTTAAAGGGCATTCTGTGGGAGCTGAGGAGGTACTAATGTTTTTAAGGCCAAAATTCCTGGCATATAGACGATGCCTTAAGAGAGACTAGAGGAAGAAGACATATTAGGAGGATTTAACAATAATAATAGATGCCGTTAATTAAATGCCTGCTCTCTATGTAGGACTTTATGCTAAATTATTTCCTAACCTTGTCTTCCTTGATTTTCACAATGATTAAATGAGTTGGATATACTTATCTTCATATGACAGTGGTTTAGATGATGAACTAAGGGGTTAGGCTAGTTAGATAGCTAGTTAAGTGGCAGATCTGGGTTTCCGTGGCTCCAAATGCACCTAGTTCCCATGGTGTTCAGCCAAGGAAGCCTGGGGGCCAGGTGCAGGGACTGTTCAGGGACGGGATCAGAACTGGGCAGAGTCCTGAGATGCTAAAGACTTGAAAAATGGGACTGTCACAGATTAAAACTAGACTCAAGAGGGATCTTATTTTCAGGCTTCATATATAAATGGATTTTTTGAGTCACATTCACAGGATGAATGGTAGGCAGGGTCTTCCTGAGCTAGCAAAGCCCCCCATCCAAAAAAAGTTTTCCTTCATTTCGAAAGGAACTGGATCCATGTTTCCTAAATCCCATGACACCCAAGAGAAGCATCTTCCATGCCCATTCCCTCTGCCATTGCTGAATGCATTCCTTTGTTGAGCAAATGCTTAGTTTCACAATTGATCTACTAACAAGTATGGAGCATATACTATGTGCAAAGAACGTGCTTGGTTTGTGGGGGAAAATAGAGCTAATCAGGGCACTTAAAATTTTGTCGGATAAATGATATATGCAGCATTGAAAGAATCAGAATTCCATGGAAGACTGAAATAATAGAGGAGTTCAGGGATGAAGGAGATCATTGGAAGTAGAAGAAGTCTGGGAAACCTGTAGATATGAACTAATGTTGGATTTTTGAATTGGCTTTTAAAGGAGAGGAACATTTGGGTAGATGGAGAGAGAGGAATATTTTTTCAGGGCAAAGCAAGGTAGCAGTAGGAGAAGGGTGAGTAAAAGCTTTGTGGCAGAAATAAGTGTGGTGTTTGGGGGAAAGTACAGTAAGCCCATAAGACTAGCACAGAAGATTTACATGCTCCAGATACTTCAGCTGGTAATTTACAGCTCCCAGCCATGGAGTACGTATAGCTTTGAAACCAAGAGCAGAGTTTCTAGACCCACACTATTTAGATGATGTATCCTGGCTCTCCTGCTTCATACCTGGGCAACCTTGGACAAATTACTTAATCTCACTAAGCCTGTTTCCTCATCTATAAAATGGGAATCATTATAGCACCCAACCCAGAGTGGCCATGAGGATTGAGTTTAGTAATAAGTGGGCCAAACATCCAGCACAGTATCTGCAAACCTTCAGAAAGCGTTAGCTGCTGCCATCACTGCTGATCAAGTAGATGAGTGCCGTGTGGGTGAGGCTTCTTTTTCTTATTCAGCATATTACATTAAAAGTGTGGCATGGTTTTCTCTAAATTCCAGCTAGTATCACTGACTTAGGGTTTACCACTGGGGATGCCAGGAAGAAGCTGCTCTGGCTTGAGCCTTTGCTTCTGGCCTTCAGTACCTCTCCGTTGCTGTACAGCCAGAACCCATAACCAACCTGGATCCTGTCTGCTCAGTTGGTAGTATTCCTTTGGCTTTTATAAAGTCTTCATGCACTCCAGCTCTCTCTAATTAGCTTGCATATGGCCTTAACTTTCTGCTTCCATATTTCAAGATGCATTTGACTTGTTATTTCATTTCCTGCTTCTGTGTTTGTGCTTTCCTTGTCTCTTGCATGCTGGGGCAGTCTCACTGGTTCTGGGAATGCTACTCCACTGACTGTTTTGTTATACATCTTTAAAAGAGTGGTTCATGGCATAAGATATGCTTGCAATACATAATGGCTGGTTGATGGAGCCTCATCCCAGGCTAGGCCTGGACTCTCACATGGGCTCACTTCCTGCCAGGATTCAGACATGTGACATCCTCCAGGTCCAGTCTGTTACTATCAGAAACATGCCCCTTGCCTGGAAGGGTGGTCCAGCACACCATCTGGCTGCGTCAGGACCACACGGAACCATGGCCCAAGAGACTGGAGAACAGCTGCTCTCAGCTTGGCTTACCGGCACTGTTGTGATTGGCCTTCCCAGGGCAGTTAAAAAATGGTGAGGAAATAGTGCTCTTTGACGAGTCTCACTTCATCTTGTCTAAATTTAAATTACATGGCTCTTTAAACTTGCCCCAGACATGTTTTCTCTTCTTTGAATGACCTGGAGTGGTAGAAAATGCTTCAGTTAGAAGGGCTTGCCCTGTCCAGGTCCCAGCAGAGTGTCTGCAAACCTTGAGAAAGTGGTCTTCCAGCCTCCTTACTTCTCATTGATTATAGTCCTAGAAACTCCGCTAAACCCTCCATCCGGACGGAACTGATTCTGTCATGGCCTTCAAGCTCCAGGAAGCTTTGGCCCCTGACACCTCCCTGCCCACCTCTAACAGGAACAGAGAAGGGAAGTAGTGCTTTGGGAAAAAGGCTCCAGGGACAGCTGTGGAAACCCCTGAGTTCTCCCCTGCAGAGAGCTGTGGAGAGAGCTGCCCTCTGCAGGTTGCCTGACGCACTGGCCTCTGAGTCCCAGGGTCGGGGACTTGGTCTGAGTTCCTCTCAGTTCCGCCTCTCCAGCCCATTCTGTCTGTTTCACTCTTCCCGCCCTTTTCCTTGCTTCCTCCTTTCTGCTCCACTGAGACAAGAGGTCATACAGCCCAAACTATAAAATATTGTCACAAACCAAAGGGGTGGGAAGAAAGCTATGAACCTCAGCATTTTAAAAACTAAAGACACAGACTTAGGAGATGAGAAGCATTATTAAGATACTGTAAGGGCTTCTCGGGTGTGCATGTGTGCTGTGCACATATGTACATGTGTAGCATGCATGTGCATGGAAGGTCACCTGCAGACTGGGGGAAGGGACTTGCTAAGCATGACTATCTGGGGACTCACTCAGTGATTCTGATTTAGTAGATTTGAGCTAGGGCCCAGGATCTGCATTTTTTAACAAGCTTCTGGAATGACTGAGATGCAGGTGGTCTGGAGACCCTGCTCTGAGAAATGGTGCTCTAAGCCAAAGAAAAGGGCAGGAAAACATACACCCTAAACAGAAACCCCCATTTGTTTTATGGGCGAATCTTAGTGATTTCCTACAGCGGCTGGCTGAGAGACACCAAAAGCTAACATCTCATCTGACCCGAAGGCATGCCATGTGTGGTTCATCTTAGGAAATAAACCCTCGTCTGGCTGAGATGCTGGAGTATGTGCTTCTGCATGTGCTGAGTGTGAAAGTAGCCTTGCACTGGGAATAGGGCATTGCAGTAACACTACGCCTGCTTTTGCACACAAGTGTCACCCTTGGGGTGCTCAGGAATCCACAACTAAGCAAGCTCCTCGGGTGAGCCTTGTATTTGCTGAGGTTCAGGAACTGCTGCCTGAGAGGTGACTGGGCTCCACTGGAGTCATCCAGCCAGTGAGTGGCAGAGCCCAGCTGGCACTCCTATGTCTGCTGACCTCCAGCTCCAGTGTCCTTTTTATGGCAGTCTGAGTCCATGCCTCTGTCTCAGAGCAGGCTGTGTGGACAGATGGTGGCCTGGAACCCTGGGGAGGAGACCTCCAATCCTTCAAGGTTTTCCATTGCATCGCCCACCCAAAGACTACAGGGCACACATGCCCACTCGAAAGCAACCGCACCGCCAGGCTTCTGACTGTGTACTTCTTTATATTTCTCACAACCTAGCGAGAGATCTGAAAGTGGGTCAGGGTCTGCCCCAAGTGTGTGCACAAGCCAGGAAACAAAAGGGAGTAACCTCACTTCAAACAGGCGGCAGATGATGTCTGTGAGGAAGAGATACTTTCAGAATTGCCCAAGGGCAGGAAATTTTCCACAGAGAGCCAGAGCTGAGCTGGTATTAAAAAGACTCAGAGCCTGGATGGAGCTAATGAGGGAACTTTATGCTGAGTGCGGCCCACCCAAGTTTAGCCTTCTCATTCCTGTGAGCAAGATGGCCAGTGCAGATAAGAACACAGCACGCTTGCCCCAGCCTCTCCTTGGCTGCCTTCTCGTGTCCTGGCACAGGGCGGGGAGAGCATGTCAACTCAGGTGCCTTGCTGCCCAGAGGAACTGCTGGCAAAGCGACGGAAGCCTTGTTGAGAGCCCGGGGATTCCCAGAAGGAAGCAGAATGAGCCATTGACGGGAGGTCTTGATTGCCAAGCACAGTTACAGTGGGCTTTGTATCTCCTATACATGACTATTTTAAAAGACAGCCTTCCTTAATCCTTTCTCGTTCAAATATATCTCTAAGTGTTGCTGATATTCTCCTGGTACAGATGGTGTGAGAACTGGGGCGGGACGATGGGAAGAAGCCTGCCTTCCCTTTCTGCCAGTCATCAGGTGCTTTCTTTGAGCCTGATGCTGTAGGCTCTGCACGTGGCTGGGTGGAAGGCAGACAGCACGATGGGTGAGCTAACCCTCGGTGAGGGAGGCGGGGATGCTCAGGCAGCCCCTGCCCGTGTGACCACATGGGGACAGAGGCAGGGACCAGGTGCTCTGTGGCCACAGAGGACAGGGAGCTCCTCTGCTGAGGGCACCAGGAAAAGCTTCACAGAGGGGAGACTTTACAAAGATAGATGGAAGCAAAGTTCAATCACTTAAAATTTTAAAAACTAGGTGAAGGTGCTTGATTTTACATGAAAGAGATAATAGGAGGAAAAAAGCAATTAAATTGATGGGAAAATGTGAAGGGAATAAAGAGCAATAAAGGAGGGGTGCGTTGCAGCAACCAGGCCCTGCTGCACCCCAGCGTCCTCAAAGCAGCAGCCAGGACTGCCTCTCAGGTGTCCTGGGTGCTGGGAAGGCCTGCGTCTCCTGTCAGCACCTAGACGGGTGACCCAGCTCCCCCTCTCCTGCCCAGGCCCAACCCCCTGCATGCTCCCTGGAGCCTGGGCCCCATAATGCTGCCCTTGGGAAGGGCTCCATGCACGTTTACCGAGTGACCGGCAGTCCTTGGTCTGTGACTGAGGTCCCTGAGGGTTCCGTGAGCCAGGAGGGGAGTGGCCCAAGGAGTCTTGGTAGAACAGCATACTACCACCTCTCAGTTCTTTGTCAGTCAGAAATTGTGATTCCCTGGCCTCCCCACCTCTGTGGGGTAGTGGGCAGTATCAATTTGGGCTTACATTCTGAGGCGTTGAGGTGGCTCGTGCTCTTCCGTGGCTGGCCTTTGTGTACTGATTTCCATGTATCAAATCTAAAGACCAATAAAAAGGAATTTGGAACACCAAACAGAGAGCACCCTCGCCTGCGAATCTCATGGTTTTCTTCCGTTACAGCGGACTAGATCTCTAGAAAGGCAGCCAGAGCACAGACACAGCAGAGGGCGCCCGCGGCAGGAACCAGGTTTAGCAAAGGAAAGCTCACTGTTGTCTTGAAGAGCCGCTGCGCCTGTGGGACTCATGCGGCATTAGAGACCGGGGCTTGGGCCTGGCTAAACCCCAGGCCTGCCCCCCTGAGTGGTTGGCAATCCTTGCCTCTCTGCAAAATCGTGAGGACAAATTATCCTTTACCTTGAAGAAGCAGTGGCATGACCGCTTTCTCTGCTCCTCAGAAGATGACGGCTGGGCTGTCCTGCTCTTAGCAATTGACAAACTGCCCCTTCCCAGGACTCTCACTGCCTCAGGCTGGGCTGCTGGGGCCTCAGGTGTCTGACACTGCCCATTTTCTCTTTTCAGGGGAGAATTCGGCTTGCGAGAGTACTCCGAAGTGAAGACTGTGACAGTGAAGATCCCCCAGAAGAACTCCTAAGAAAAGGCCAACAAGGAAGATGAAGGCCAGCCTGCACGACTCCCCCTCTCCGCATTCCCCGTAGGGCTTGGCTCGCAGGAATCCAAAGCGGATACTCAGTCCTTATTTAAAGACTTAAATGATAACATGTAGGCTGGGCTGGGCACGGCATAACTAAAGCAAGCCAGCTGGGCACAGTTTCTTAGCACTCTGCAAGGGATCTCCTTAATGATACCAAATATTGGGGAAGGCGGGATGAAGGTGATCGGAGTAGCTATTGGGCACATCCAGTATCTCCTTCTGGAGTGAGAGGTTGAAGAAGGGAGCTGCATTATCTGATGCCTTTTGTCACGGGAACTTTCCTCATGAGGAAAGGTAGCCTTTCCAGGGTCGTCCCTGTCTCCTTCCCGGCGCTCTCCACTCACCCACCCCTTCCTGCTCCTCCAAGGAGATCTCAGCTGAGCTCATTTGGGGCAGATGTTTGGGTCTGGAACAATTTTCCAAGGTTTTGCAGCCAAATTACCATTTCATGTTATCCATTTCTTCAAAGCAAAACAAGAAATGGTTTCAGTTAGAGCCAGACTGGACTGAAAATGCTGAGAGCTGGCACACTGCAGATGGGCGAGGAAATAAGGGCTTGGGATACTCCTGATGGAGCCTGGTTTTCTTACATCCATGAACAGCATGGCTGGGTAAAGATCAGGAAGATGGCGCTCTGGAGGTCATCACAGAGCTCACGGCTTTGGAGGGGGTGTGTACGTGGACTTCATGACGGCTCTGGAATAAGCCAGAGGGTGGGTGGTTTTTCATATATTGATAAGATCTTTTCCAAAGTTTATCTTTAAAATCAACCAAAGATTGAATTGAGTAGGCTCAAGAATTCAGAAAAAGGTGAAGCTGGGTGCCTTGCAGAAATAATTCCGTTTGCAATACTGGCTGGCAGTTCTTAGGAAGTGAATGATCTCTGAACTTGGAATCCGCAGCTTCTGCCTCCCGCCCACACTGCACCGGCTCTGCTGCTCCCGGTGCCATGGGTGGTACTTTGGCCTATCCACGCCTGGAGGTTTCCCTTTCCATTTGCAGAGAATTCCATTGTGCCATGATTGTCATGCTCCTCAGAGCTCCTCTGTCACACCCCGTGGCTCGTCCTCCTGGACAAGCTTGCCTCTCATCCTCCAGAGGGGGAGGCGTGAAGCAGCCCACCTCCCTGTCCTCCCAGCCACACACGCCTCTTCTGCTTCCTGGTGACTCCACCTGTCTGGTGCAGGCAGTGTCAGCTTCCTTTCCATCTTCCCTCTTTCCAGCTGCCAGATTCAATCCAGCCTCTAACCTACATAAAGATCATTTATTTAAAAATACCAAACATAACCTAGACTATATGGAATATGGTCAACACATATATAGCCTCTGTATTTAATGGTTTTCTGCTTTCTAACCATACTGGTTTTCTATTTATAACCCTTGTCTATCTGTGATGTTTTAAAGAAATCTCTTCTTGCTGTTATTCACCAACAACAGTGCATTCAGTGGCCCGATCCCTTGAGAGATGCCACATTTCTGAGTTCTTCCATGTAAATGTCATGCTCTCCTCTTATAGCGAGTGCCCAACTGAACATATCCATTAACCAGCTAGTTACCTTTAAACTGCAGTATAGAATGTGAAAATGAAGATTTATTTCTTTTAATTTACATAAAAAGAAACCTCTGTGCTAGCAATAAAGCATTTATATTGTGTACTCCTTGGGATTATCTGGCTGTGTTTATAAGTCTTTGCACCATACCTGGTACATCTGGGTCCTTCTCTCAGCTGCTGGGCTTTCAGCTGTGGTGTCCTCTCTGGTTGTTGAGCAGAAATACTCTGGGAAAGCGTTTTTGCAAAGTACACGAAGGCAAATAAGACCCTTATGTTCTGACACTTTAAAATCTGTGTGCACAGTTTTGTGTAGCAAACAAGTATAACCACAAATGTATGAAACAACAATTTTCATTCAAAATAGCCTCCATGAAAGCTAAAATGTGAAGGAGTTTTTAGGGCTTTATTCTCACAGACATGGACTGTGTGATGAGAGCTCACATCATTGGTTGCATTTACAAGTAGCTTTGTTTTTATTTACTGAAGTGAAATCAAAAGCTGACAGCCTGATGTAATATTTTTGCAGCTGTAAAAGGGAAGCTATAAAGGGTGACTGTACTACCAGTGGGAACTTGTTTTGCCCTCTCTCCCTGTTCTCAGAGTTGAGCTTTTGGGGAGTGGTTTCCACCCTTTAGATCTGCACATCTACCTCCACCCAAGTCCTGGTCAAGAGAGACAAAAACAAAAAAGATAACTTAGCCATGGAGGAAATCAGACTTGGGGAGAGATGTGTTGGTCTGGACTGGACTTCGTGGCTCTGACTGCTGATACCTTATCCCTCAGAGAAACAAACTGAGCCTGGGAAACTACAGTCCTCAGGGCCCTGGGCTGAACTCTGAAATATCAGGTGTGGGCTCCCTGCAAATCTACCCCTTGGTTCATTACCTTGAGGCCCCTCTCAGGAAGAAAATGAGATGGAGATGGGCATAATCATTTAAATGTCTTCTGGAAGGTGCCATTGTAGAGCTTATAGTTAGCAGGAATCTGGAATAAGGCAGACGTAACTCAGTGGTTCTTTGAAACATAAAATTCCTCAACCTTACCCCTTTATGATCCCGACAAAAAGGCAAATGAAGAGGGTGTCACAAATGTCATTAATGAAACTAATACGTAGATACTCATCAGTCATCTTTCACCAGCACTACATATTTATGCTCTTGTTTTACTGTTAACCCCTGAGATTTTCCATTGCAACATTTCCTTCAAAACATCCTCAGAGCATTCTTATTGATCTCATTCTTTTACATGACTGTTAAGATAATAAAGGACAAGAATATTATAGGGAATAAAGAACAAAACTAAACTGAATGTACTGGACTGTATATAAGACAGGAAAACACCCAAGAAAAGAGGACAATCAAAGAGAGAAGTTAGTAGAAGAGGGTGAGTTTTGAACTGGTCTTCAGGAAGGAATGTAATTTCAATGGGCAAGGGAGCAAGAAGGCATTTCTTGTCTAGGGGGTAATCTGCAAAGGTACAAAGGCGAGGCCAGAGCACACTCAGGTGATAGTGAGGAGAGGGGCTGGCTAGAGCAGCCACTGCATACCGGCATTTGGTCAGATGGCTGAGGGCTGGGGTAGGGGTCAGCCAGTGTTCCATGGCACTGTATAAAAATTACATGTACCATGTAATAGAAAACAGGGAGTCTCCAGTGTTCTTCAAGTTGGCGAGTGATGAAGCAGTGGTTAGAGCATACTGTTTGGACCAGTGTGGATGGAAGGAGAAACAGACTGATGATGAGATGAGTTTGATGTGATACTAGCTCGGATCATGGGGATGGAGAGGAAGGAAACAATCGAGTGGAGAAGTCACTAGAACTTGATGAATGAATATGAAAGAATGAAAAATAAATGAGTTTAAGTTTCCAAACCATGGACACTTCTTTCCATGAAGAAATGGCAGTGCAGATGAGGAACCAGAAACACAGAACAAAGTTTTGGGGAATGATCTTGACTTCAGGCTTTAGACATGTAACTTTTGGGGTGACAGATATCCTGAGAAATCTCCAGCAGGCAATTGAAGATAGGGGACTGGAATCAGGCTCAGGTGACTGGGCTATGACATGAGCATAAAAGTGGTGGCTCCCTGTACAGGGAACACAAGAATAAACAACCAGGAAAGTGACGAGGAATCCTCAGGTGGAATTCCTCATCCGTCATTTACAGTTGTGTGTCTTTGGGTAAAGCACACCTTCTGGGGCCTCCGTTCCCTCCTGGGTGGGATCAAGATGACCATTCCTGCCCTGCCTGTCTCACAAAGTGGTGTGAGGATTAAATAACGTCATGGATGGCATTTTTCTTCAGTTGGTCGGAACACACACAACTCAAACAACTACAAAAAGTAAAAGTAAAAAAAAAAAAGACTTGTTGCTTTGCTGATCATCTGTCTCCATAGAGCACAAGAATTTGTCGTTTATCACCCAGTACTGAGGCCATCACATAGACTGTGACTTCCTAGAATAGGATTTCTGCTGGGTTTCCAGGGAGGCCTCCTGGAGGAAGGGCACATCTGAATCCTCAAACCAGGAGCGAGGGGTGAGCGCTGCTCCGATTCTCCGCATTTTGGTCCTTTATAGTCAGCACTTGGTTCAGGCTCTCTGTGGGGTGGCTGTAAGACCCGCAGGCTGTGATCTGGCTCTCGGTGCCACCCTGAATGTCTTACACGGCGGAGCCCCGCTGGGAATGAGAACATGGGAAAGTCTGCGCCGGAACCGCGGGGAGCCCTCTTCCTAAACAGGTACTTTGTCTAATTCTCACTTGGTCATTGGACAGATTAAAAGGAAGATCAGCTTGCCATTTAGCCTTTGATGTGAAACTGCTTGGATAATGTTTCTGTTGGCCATTTATCTGTGCAGCAAGGAGGAACCTGAAACCAGCCTGGCCTGAGCCCCATTCCTGCTGGAGCGTGAGCGCCTCGAAACAGTCCCGGGGTCTGTTGGCCTGGCTCGCTCAGCTTGTTTCTCAGGAGTAGGTCCCTGCCCTTCTTCTCCTACATGTTACTGATCTCGTGAGCCTGAGTTGCCTAATTTCTTTTACCACACGGCTCCCCCGGGTTTGTTTTCAGAGACATGCAGTTGGTTTTGTATTTTATATTCTAAGCAGGGTAAAAGGTACCCCAACTCAAGCACTCCTGAGCTGCCAGGAACAGAGACCCCCTCCAGCCCCTGCCCTGTATGGAGCTAAACTCGCTGATTCCAGGAGCCCGGGAGGTCTCTGTCCTTCCAATCCCAGGCATATACATCCAATTTACAGAAGGTACTGGAGGACCTTTGCCACTTCCTCTCGGTTGGTAACCTGCGATGAG